CATCGTTTCGGCAGAACCCTAAATGATCTCCAGACAGGCCCAAGCCAATTTTTGCTTCAAGAGTTCCTTGTAAGTTGCACTTTTTGGCAGGATCGCTTCAGCTACAACCAACCGTCGCCGGGCTTTTACGGCGACTACCGCCCCACGGTCGTGGAGCCGGTGCAGTGCCGGCCGGTGGCGGGATATGCTGATCCTTACGCCCAGCCTGGATGCTTGGGCAGCCGCCATGCAGGTTGTGTGGCTTTTTTTGGGTAGACATTAGCTATGTTGGACCTTTTTACAGACTCTTGTGGCATTCTGAGCCATCAAGGATACACCCAGCCTGGCTACAGCCAGATGGACTATGGCGCACCCAGCTACGGTCCAGAAGGGTCGTATCAGCAGAGTCAAGGAATGAGCTCAGGCGGCTTGACTGTCTCACGCAGGGAGGACTCCGCTAAGTAAGCACCCAAATCCCATGCAAGTTCGACCTCGAAGGTGCGAAGATGGCGATGGCTGGTGCTGGTGGCTTAGCTCTTGGAGCTGGAGCGGTCTTCGCGGCCGAACACGCAGGCCAGTTGGGGGTTAGGCGCTACTTGCAGCAAGTTACGGAGTCTGCTGCCTGAAGGTGTCGAACTAAAGCGACGGCAGAAAGGATGCATTCCGATTGCTGCGCCTGATTGCTGTCCCGAGGCGACATTGCTCAGTTTGCGGAGGGTGCCTTCGATGATGTTGGTCACTTCGCGGGAGACGCCGCGCATGGTGTTGAAGAGTTCGTGGAGGATATCTTTTGAGGACGCACCGTTCCTGCAGAAATCTAGCCTCAGAAGTAGGAAGCATCGACAGAATCGCCATGGATATAGCTAGTTGCCACTGTTGATGGACAAAATTCTGCATGACCCAAATATAGTATAGTACCATAAATGCCATAGTTTAGGTATATAGGGTCATGCAGGATTTTGTCCATCAACCGTATGACGGTGCCCAGATAGGAGCTGTACAGACCTCCTTTCTGGTGCTCCGAGTCTCAGTGGGCAAGTTCTTTTGTACAGTCCGCCCAGTCGCCATCGGGTCTTGGTGACTTGTGATGCGGTGTGGAAACATCCCATACAGGCGCTGTGCACTTTTAGGGCATAAATAAGAATTCGCTATACTATTTTGTAGGCTCCTTAATTATTGTAAGTCTAGTATGCTATACCCCAACACCTCATTCTACTTATTAAGGCCCCTACAGACTGAGGGAAACTCTGTCGACCCTAAATCAAGGCTGTGAACCCTGCGCCTCGTACACGAAACTCCAACCCGTCCCTTTTCTTCTTTGGGATTCTTCGGAGGCTTGGGCAACTCTTGGCCGAGTCTGTGGGGTTTCGCGGCTTCCAGAGGCTAGTCACCAGTAGCTTACGGCGTTCAGTGGTCAAGCTCGTGTCCGCTGCTCCCCCGACTGACGCCATGGGCTGCCTTATGGGAACCTTGGCATATCTTCTTGTCGCTTCCACTGTTCCAGGGCCTGGAGGTCTCTCTAAACCCTAAACCCTAAACCCCTAAACCCTAAACCCTAAACCGATCCAGGGCTTCAACTTTGAGCCGAACCTGCCCGATAGCTCTCCTAGTCTGAGGAAAGGAGGAGATGGCTGGCCAGCCGATGCCTTACGCCGCGAACTACAACTACCCAAACCAGGGGCATCTCGGCAAAACCCTAAACCCTAAACCCTAAACCCTAAACCCTAAACCCTAAACCCTAAACCCTAAACCCAAACCAGGGGCATCTCGGCAAAACTGAGCTTCAATGTGTTTTTCGGCTTTGGGCTATTTTCAGGGGTTCCAGCCTCAACAACCTTTCCCTGTTTCAACGAAATGCTCTCTGCTTGATTTGATGACGGTCATCGGATGTGCTTCTCCACTCTATTTTCATCTGGGGAATCTAGGGCTTAGGGTTTAGGAGTTTAGGGTTTCGAGGGGCCGTGGGTCAGATGGCAGGTTGCGGCTTCATTCCTGCTCTTGAATGTGTGGCACGCTGGTGCTGAGGCTGGCGGTGGTGCTGGTGCTGGCACTTTTTTGTTGGTTTGTTCGTTCGTTTGTTTGTTGCCCTGCTGCTGCTGTTGCTTTTTTTTCGATGTTGTGTGGCATGTCCTAGTCGCTAGTTCTCGTTCTTTGTTTTGCTCACTGTTGTCACAGGTCTCACTGCTTCCCACGGTCTTATTCTGTTCTTCTTGGTCGCAATGCTGTTGTTCATGTTCTTAGTTCCCAAACCCTAAACCCTAAACCTTACTAGTATTCTAAGACCTCAATCCTAAACCCGGGGGTCGTACATATTTTTCTGGTAGCTTTTCAACGTGCCACCCAGGGGTTTCGTGCTCGCTGACAAACTCGTTAATGAAGGCTGTGCGGAATCTCGTATTCAACTGAACATGATAGTGAAGCTGCTGACATCGATTGCTTCCTTCGTTGATGCATTCTTGTGTCAACACGCTTTCGAGATATCTGCGTGTAGGATTGCGGGGCGCTCGGGATTCGCATGCAGTTTTTGATCCCGAGGTACGGTGGCTACCAGCAAGTCTATGAGCAGCAGTATGCACCGGGACAGGTCTGCCAGCCTAACAGATACGAGAATGCTCCGGGACAGCCCTTTTGCCAGGATCGCTTCGGCTGCATGTCTGTTTTGCTTGGACACATCGTTTCGGCAGAACCCTAAATGA